TTTGACTCTCATCGTCCCCCGCCGCCTCTTCCAGGGGCTGCTGGACGCGTACTGCGTCATGGGGTGAGGCGCCGGGGGGCCTCTCCGAGCACGCTGATGACCGGTGCGGTGACGTCCCATAGACTGAGGGGGCAGAGGCAGCCAATGGGGTCAGATCGGGTGGCTGGGGGCAGTTAGGGTACAAGATGAATCTGGCAGGGGAGACAAAGCTGGTTATATGCAGGATTGCAGAGTCGATTTCTTAGAGCTCCGTGGTACCTCCCAGAGATGCCACCTGGGCCAAGCCCCTGTGGTCACCCGTCCCCACGCACTGGGGTCAGGACAGCGCCCGTGCTGAGCACCCCGGGGCCCCCTCTCCTGTGCTGCTCTTTGTCCTGCCTTAGCCGAGGCAGGGCCCCTCGACTCCCCTCTGACCTGCCCGCGGCCTGCGTGGCCCGTCTCTCCTGGCCTGGCTCGTGGAGGGCGAGGTTCCCGGGCCCTTCGGCCAGCCCAGCCCAGCCCAGCCTCTTTGCTGTTGGCAGGAGCGGCGTCCCAAACTTCTGCGCCGTGGCGCTGGCGCTGAACCAGCTGGGGTACCGGGCGGCAGGCGTCCGCGTGGACAGCGGCGACCTCGGCCAGCAGTCGCGGGCGATTCGCCGGGTGCTCCAGACCTGCGGCGCCGCGTGAGTGCTTCCCCCTCTGCCGGGCACTTCCTCCCTGGGCAGAGACAGAGCCCGTAGCGTAGGCTCTGCACAGGGGCGGTTACTGCCACGGACGATGGCCCCTCCTCGTTCACGGGGCTCGGAGCAGAGGGCGTATCCCTGTGGCGAGCTGCCACCTCGGCCCGTCACTCGGCTATCGACCCCCCCTCCTGCTGCCCGTCTGTCTGGGGTGGAGTTACAAGAGTCAGACCTCTCGCAGGGCTCCCTCGAAGCTGTGCGGCCGCGCCGCTGCCTAATAAACCCCACGCAGCAGCTCAGGGTGGTTCTGCACACCGCTGCCACGGTGTCCTCTCCCCCGGCCGCCGCGGCTCCCTGCTGGGGTCGGGGGGCGTGCCCCTCCCCGGCCACAGAGTCCCAGAATCACGGCCCATGAGAGCTGAGGGGGGTACCACATGGTCACCTGTTCCCCACCGCCACCGAATGGGAGCTGTCCCAGGAAGTGTCCCAGCCCCCAGCCCTGAGCCTCCCGCTCCCTATCTCACTCCCAGACCCTGCCCCCCAGCCCCCGGCCCCAGCCCTGAGCCTCCTGCTCCCTAACTCACTCCCAGACCCTGCCCCCCCAACCCCCGGCCCCAGCCCTGAGCCTCCT